AAAGATCTCGACAAGGGCTATAAGAATATGCAATAAAAAATAGAGATTTCAATTTAAAAAATTCAATGTGACCTTGATATGACCTTAATAATGCCACCCAAGGTCTAACTAATAGTTCTATCTCTTTTCCCCTTCAGAACCAAACAACTTTTGTCTAAAAATTTTTTTTCTAAAACTTACAGGTTTTGAGATATTTGCCTGTCAAGATTAAAATATATATATATATATATATATATGTATGTATATATATGTAGGTGTGTAGGTGTCCAATGTTTTGACTCGGAACATTAAATCATTCCCTTGAATTTTTTATTGTTAGCTAACATATTTTATTTCCCGAAAAAGATCTTTAAAATTATATGCTTACGATGTGATGTCATAAAATTATAATTAATCGACTTGTAAACCGATGTAATGAATCGACTTGGTTATGATAATCGAGTGTACCTAAAATGTTCCTGTAATGCCTCCTTGGATCCCAACTTCGAATCACACAGAACACAGTTATGCTGGCCTTCGGTACTCATTTATGACACTCTCAAATCCATAAAAACGAGGAAAACATCGGAAAAAATCACGGAAACGTCAGATCGTGGGACGCGCTAATCACAAATTCAAAGCGAATTATGACGAATTGTCATTCAATGTAGAGAGTCTAACACCGTTCCCTTCTTCGTGCTTGTTGCTCTTGTTGTTACATTACAATTTCATGTAGAAAAATAACTCGTTTCACAAAATATAAGCGTGTCCAGGAGACGCGAAAAAAATCAATTTTCGGCCATTTTAATTGTGTTGAAAGACGCGCCATCTAACGCAGCGTGCGCTCAATAAATTTGTCATCTGAAAAAGATGTGATTTTCAAAACTATGCCATAATTTAATAAATATTTTAGATATTTATTTGGAATAATAAGACCTCATTAAATAGAGATCTTTTCATTATTTTCTAATATATATAATTATAATATATTAGTTATATATTAATATATAGCTTAAATATTATTTTAATGAGTCACGCTATTGAAATTCTAACAGAGAATTATTAATGGGATATATTGTAATGGTATCAAAATTCTAATGAATAAAACATATAAACCCATTTTTTTATCTTATCAAAAAATTATAAATATATAATTCAGAATACAATTAACACATAACTTACAATTAGTATTTAATTTTAAACATAGAATTTAGAATAATAACAACCCTAAAAAAAGTAAAAGCATATACGCCAAGTATATAAAAAGTATCCAAGCTTGTATGTCACTTATTGTCACTTATACTGTCAATAAAATATTTATATACTTGGCGTTTTGACTACCCCATATTTTAATCTTTACCTTTTTCAAGGATTAAGTTGTTTCCAATTAGAATATAATTTAGCTAAATATAAGAGTATTATTCTATAAATCTCTATTATCGTTTTACCATTGCATAATAATTGCATTTTTCGAATTGTTGCTCAAAAGTTGATAAAATATTAATATTTCTTGGCAAGTTTCATGGAAGATACATTAAATATACATATATTTTTCTATAAAAGTATATATAAAACTATCTATAAAATAAATTCAATATCTTTATTCGACGCGGTTTCTCCCACTTTAATCGCGATAAAATACTTTTCTCCGGAAAATATATAGAAAAAATACATATAAAAATCTAAGACTTTGCTTTTTAGAATATACCTATCAGTTCCTTGCTTAGCACGGAATAAACATCAAGTATAACATTTTAAAATATACATTTCTAATTCAGCGTGCTGCTTTTCACTAGGACATAAGTTTACGTTAAGTAGAATCTTAATCTTTATCGCGCATATTTTCTCTTATAATATTATGCAAAAATAAGTCAATCTATAAATTCTAAAGTTCTAAACCTGTTTTAAACAATTTTTTTTAGCTCTATAAAATTAATAAAAATTAAATTGAATTTATTAATAAATTTCAAAATCTATATTTATAGTTTAATATATTTTAAACTCAATTTACTCAATTTTATATATTTTTTATATTTAATTTTAAATTGAGAATTTCTTTCCTTGAAGTTATTACCTGTATAGATTAACTTATTCTCGCATACACATGAATGCCGTCTATTTGTATATGTAGTTAATGCAACTGTTGATATATCGGCGATGATTGCCCATCAGTCACACCTTGCGCTGCCAGTTCCGCAAGTGTCCTTTCAAGGTAACTCTGGTCGGGATAACCGTGGCCGGATGTGGACGGGCCTAGCTCGGTCTTATGATGGATCTCGTTCCATGTAACGACATCTTCGCGACCAGTGGTGACCGATCGGCCGATTGTGAAGATCAACCTGCGCTCGAAAGCGATTTGCAACAACCTTAATACTCGACGGCCAAGATTGTTATCCGGCAAATAGCATACTCGGGGAAAGCCCACGGCGTAGTACGCCTGGCCAGGATTCGGATGCTCATTACTCTGAATCCCAGATGGAATGCTGAAAAGATTAACAATAAGATCGATTGATAAAAATTAATTTTCAGTTAGTTTGAGTTTTAATTTAATTCTTTTTTTTATTCTCCCCAAATTGATCCAAGTGCAAATTATTTTAACTATGTCTGTGTAATAATTATAAAAATATTTATAACCTGTTTGTTATTAAATTTGTTCCAAACTTGAAAACTTAGCTTATAAATTTTCACGATTGATTCTCTCTCTCTCTCTCTCTCTGATACTTACTCATAAGTGATTTGTATGGTATTGGTGTTCGGAAAACCTGGCAGCGCCCGCGGTATTCGCGTCCAATTCATCGTTCCCGGCGGTTGATTGCCTCTCTTCTCGCCGTAAATCATACGGCAAACCGGACACTGTATGTACATGGGTGGCTGTTGACAACCGAGCATCGCGTTCAGACATGCCAAGTGTAATCTGTGTCTGCATCGCGTTAGTTCGACCGTTAACGGTTCCGGAGTGCCCAAACACACCGGACAGGAATCAGATCCATCGCTCTCAACCACCTTCACATATCGAGATATCACGTCCGACGTGGCGTCCATCCCTGCGAAATTAATATAATGACAGGTCTGATTCAAACATTCTAGAAAATATTAAAATTTAAATATAAATACACAGAGAAATGTATAAATAAACTATCATTTAATTAAATAAATTTATAAAATTTATACATAAC